GAAATAAAAGTGCCAAACTGAGCTTGGCAAGCACAATCGCCAGTGATTTTATGATCTTGTCTCTCAGATCAGGGACCAGCATAAAATGCTGTGGCCAAGAGTGGTGCTCAGCCCAAGGGCAAGTGATGGTACAGTGCATTATAACATTGAAATGAACTCTGTGTATCCAACAATGTCAGAGCCACAGCTTACAGCAACCAGATTAAAGGAAGACATACATGTGGCTGAATATAAATGTTTAGTTATTTTGGTGCCCAACTCGAGCCATTTCAAATGACTTCAAAATGGGCTCTCAGCAATACTGAACGTGGGCATCCACCAATTCTCAAAAGAGAGTAAGTACCCAAGAAAGGTCCACTGCAAACAAAGTCCAATCAATCTAATTTTCCACAACTTTTCCAAGAGCAGAAAATGACCTACATGTCACCTTGTGGACTTTTAAAATACCAACAATATATGAAACACGAGTGTGCAGCCCAAATGCCATAAAGCTTCTGTAGCACATGAAAGCAAGGGAGAAAATCCACTTTTCCCTCTCAGGCTAAGACTGGACCTTACTGGAATTAGTTTTTCCATCTGATCTAGAAGCAGGTCTGTATTCCAGCAAGTATGATGTAATAACTTGCCTGTCCCATCCTACCAGAGCCACAGGAACTGCAGTGAAAGGAAAGATTTGTTCTGACCTTCACAAACAGGGTTTTTAATCCAAGAGAATTAATTTACTCTCTTGATCTGAGTACATGAAGGTATCGAACTCCAAGGCATGCTCAGTGTGGCACAGAACTGCTGTGATGAGTACCCTCGTGTCCAACTTACAATATTCCTTTGTTCCCACTCCCTGTGAACTCCAGCAGAAGGGATGATAAGCTTCCAGTACGGCTTTCAGAGCCCCCCATGTCTCTAAATTTCCTACAACGTCTTTTATTGTCTCTTGTGTTTCTGATGCCCCCTTCTCCCCGATCCATTCATGCTCCTGACCTGCTGCAAACCATCAGGAACCTGTGGACTTTAACATTGCTAACACTTTTACCTGTGCAAACCAAGACAATCAATATCAGGCTTTCCTTCACTGACTTGGATATGCAAATTTTATGCAACTATGCAAAGGCAGTCCTGCTGAGGATCAGCTACTTCTGCTTTTTGCAAGAGAACCTGAATCCAAATTACCAGTCTGGATACAAGTGCACCATAAGTCACTGATGTAAGGGCACATTATTCCCCCTGCAATTCAGAAGAGCCTGCTTTAATATGCAGCATGCTCTGAAGAGCCACCACTGCTGAGCCATCTAAGAGGATTCCTGTGGTTTTAAATTTCAGGTTTTCAAATTCAGCCCAGAAATCCATCCATCAGTTTCTAAAAGTAATTTTAAAACTCCAGATGCATTCTGGCCCACAGTCATACTGTACCTCCCACCCTGGCTACACCTACAATTTGCTATGTCCAGCTCAGCCATTTGCTTCTGAACCAGGAGCTACTCCCTGATGTACAACTGGTTATTCACAAGCAGTAGTTGGATGCTAACACCAGTTAGTTACATACAGCCCCTAACTGCTCTGTGGGATTGAACTAAGTAAACACATTCCAACAAAACCTGAAAAAACCCTAAACTTTGGTACATTAGTGCACAAAGTTTGTAACTTCAGCTTCTGGATGCAGCTCGCTTGCTCCCAAGACAGCTCTCTAAGTTTAAGTTTTCTGTCTCTTATCTGTGTGTTTTCTGTCTGAACAAACGTAGCGTTCCTGACCCATTTTCCGTGGCTATTCTTTATTTATGTGTTGAAACTCAGTAAACATTATGCAAATATCAAAGGGTATATTTACTAAGCAAGCATTTCAAAATCAGGAATTGCCATCTGATCAGACACGTGGAACCAACCTGAGGGAAGATGAGCCAGCTTCAAAAGTACTGAACTCAACTCTGCAACACGTGTAACGTGGCCCTACGCTGACTGAGAGTAACGTGTCAAATTTCCCAGGGAACCAGCAGAAATTCAGACCTCTGAGTTCCCTGTGGAAACCACAACATAATTTTCTTGTTTCAGCTTTCTCTTACTACAAGTGCTGAAGAGGCTCCTTTAGAAAATTATGTTTTTAAATACACAGTACGTCCTGCCAGGGCAAAGAAAGGAGACTGCAGATCTGCTGGTGCGCAGAGGTTATAATTCCTACTGCTCCCCCTCCTCGGTGTTGACTGAGCTCTGCTGTTGGTTTTTGATTACTGATGGATTGCACCACATCCCCCAACATTTACCTTACAAGGCTGAAATCCTGTTTCTTCATATCAGCATTATCCTCTGGAATATTGCGAGCCAAGATGCCTAATTGCAAAAAAACAGTACATCTTCATTAAAAATACAATTAAATCACCACCAGATTTTTAATTCAACATCTCCCTTCACACTGTGCTTTTGTCCTCAGAGCCTTCCTGTCTTAACTTTTGCATTGCAGTTCAGACAACACCCTCAGCCCCTGCTCCTTTATTCCACTTTACAGTCTTTGGCTGTTCAAATTCCATGCTAACAGGTGGAATGCTAAATCCCAGAGTACTCCAAATACTGACCAGCAACCTCAACAGTGCACTTTCTAAGCACTCGGTTGCTACCCTTAACACACAGAAACCATCATCAAGGACTTCAGGGGAGAGAAAAAGGGCACCTGCCCTATGAGACAAGGGAAGCAAGAGAGGATGAGCAGCGCAGGTGGCTGGTGGGGTCTAGGAACTCAGAGAAACATGAGGGTGACAGGCTGGCACAGTGTGAGGAGCAGCACAGTCCTGTGTTCAGGATCAGGGGAGATTGTCTCCAGCCCTCACATACGATGGGAACAGGTTCCACTTGAGGTACCTCAAGCACAGCAACAGGAGATGAAAGAGCAGATGGATTAATGTGCAGGCAGACCAGTTATCAGAGATCCTCCCTGCTGAAGAGGAGTCAGAGAACCTCAGAGCATGCAGGAATCACCCCCAAAGCCTACGCTGCTGTGTTCCTTGTGCTGCACTCCAGACCCACCCACGGGTTAAACTCAGTGCAGCTGACTCTGCAGAGGCATTTACAGAGAAGCTCTGTTACTTATAGCCCCAGGGAGAGAGCTCTGCTAGCTGCAGAGGTGCCAGCATTGCAACAAGGAGGTAATTCAGGCACCCTGCACTTCTCCACCCCGTGGCTTTTCACCTCTCCTTCTGCTCCTGGAGCAAATCTGTTCTCGTTACTCGGATCTTCCACACAACCCTTAGAAAAGGCATCTGTCAACTCCTCCTTCCACCCTCCCTGCCCTCTTTCAGAGTGAAAGATGTATCAGCAGAAACATACCAGCATGGACTGCAGGATGAAGGGTTTTCACACGCCCGCCCAGCATCTCAGGGAAGCCTGTCAGGTCCGAGACATCTCTGCCCAAGAAGAAAACAGATGTGCCACACTGACTTTATCTAGAGGTTAAATGACCAAAACCAAAGAAAATTTACAGATTTCACTACAAAACCTCCCTGTGCCAAAGGGACAACAACTGCTTTTCCCATGGATAGAAATAGAGTTCATGGGTCACACCTAACTAAGCAGTACAGCTTGAATACACTGGAATAACCGAGATAAGCAAACCCCAAGCCAAAATGGTCTACAGAGAAAATGGAAGGCCATGTGGAGCTGCTCTTCCTCCCAGCTTAGTTTCACCACTCCTTTTGACTGTTTAGGGTGATGATAAAAATAATGAGGGAAGGGGAAACGTCAGCATCCTTTGCTTCAGGTTTCACTGACAGCACAGCCAAGGAAATAAGTTAGAGACACAACCAAGGCCTGGGTAACAGTGAGCTCTGGAGGTGAAGAAAATTCGTGCTGATGTGTCCCAGGTGCCAACCACTGCATTCACAGGGACCAAAAACGGAGTCACAGTCACCTGTCCTGCCAAATACTTGACTTTTTTTCATCACTGCACTGAAACCCATTTTTATTTGGCCAGAGCTGCTTTTTTTTTTAATCACAGCATAGAACAAACCAGAATAAATTTGTCCAGAATCACGGTCTAGAACAGCCAGTGACTGTATGTGACCTTTTTCCAGCAGTGGATGCACAACACTTAAAAGGCTCCATCTGCATTAAGTGATTGTGCTGGGAAAATTATTTGTGACCAGTGAAGTCCAGCGAGCTTCAACATGCTCCTGATACACCCATGCTGTCCCAGGACCAGGCAAAAAGATCAGCTTCCACCTGGCTGTGAGGAGCAGAACTCAGGGCAGATTAAGAACATCAAGGTAAGAGGTATTTCCCATGGAAATAAAGCTGGCTCGAGGCAGACAAGGAATCCCAACAAAAAGCTCCTCACAGTAACGCGCCTCAGCCAACAGACCCGTGGACAAAATGGTTCTGAAGTTTGCTTTGGGGCAAGGTTTTCTTTTTTTATTGTTGTTTTTGAAGGGAAGACTTCTTTCACACCAGCTTTCACTCATTTTTGTTCACAGAGAAAACAATGTAAGCAAGCTCAGGGCCCAAAAGAGCATTTTTGGCGGCGATGTACAGGGGAGTGTGTGTACCTGACCGGCAAGCCAGCATCCCTCAGGGACTTGGCCGTTCCTCCGGAGGCAATTAAACCCAGGCCAAGCGCATTCAGGCTCTTCGCAAATTCCACCAGGTTGGTCTTGTCAGAGACGCTGAGTAAAGCTGGCAGGCGGGAAGAGCACGAGTGTTTGAGTTTTAACGGCGGAACACAAAACAACAGGATTAAGCGAGTGAAGCTTTTATAAGTTGCGTAGTTTAGGAGTTTATGCGGTGCCTGGGGAGGGGAAGGGGAGCAGCACCAGAGCCTCGCGGCTCTCCTCAGGGGAAGCCGCCCCTCAGGCGAGGCCACGGCCTCAGGGCGGGCGCCTCAGGGCGCGGGCCCGATCGCCTCAGCGCCTTCCCGCTCGCCGAGCCCTGCCCCGGGAACGAGGGACACGAGCAGCGCCTGCCCGCCCTCGGCACCCCGCGCGGGAACCGCCGCTGAGGCGCCTTCCGGGGCCGCCCTGCCGAGCCGCACCGGCGGCCATTGCGGGGCACCGCGGCGGCAGGGCACCCCCCAGCCCTCAGGGACACCCTCCCCGCGGCCATCGCCCGCCCCGCGTTACCGAGCTGCTGCCGCGCGGCCATGGCGCCGTCGGTGGGTGCAGGAGGGCGCGGAGGCCAGGAGAGGACGAGCGGCGGCGGCCCGGCGGGATTTGGGCGCACGGGGGCGGGAGGCGGAGGGGGCGGCCCGACGGGGAATGGAGGGAGGCGGTGGCGGGGTCGGGTGGTGGGCACGTGTTTTTTGGGACACACGCGTGGCCTGGGGGTGAGGATGCCCCGGAGGGTGAAGGTGCCCCGTGGTCTTGTGTGGGCAACGTGTGGGCGAGCGGGTGTTCCTGCTGCTCCGGGCGTGTGTGTGCACGACATGAGACACACGCAGACACACACATACACTCGTAAATCTGTGTGCATTGCCATGGGTGCACCACACCCACACCCAGGTACCACACACACACATATATATACATACATACACTCGTAAGTCTGTGTGCATTGCCATGGGTGCACCCCACCCACACCCAGGTACGTGTATGTGCACACACGCACACACATACAGAATGTTCGGTGGTGGGAAACCCAGCCTGGCACACAGATGAAAGGTGTGCCAAGGTGAGATGCAGGTGAGGCAAAACCTCTTCACAGTGGGAGGTTGTGCAGTAAGGACCATTAATTTCTTGCAGGAGTACTGACAGGAGTTTCATCTATGGAAAGTCCTCTCGCAGAGCTTCCACACGGGCAGAGGCAAAGCACTCATTTAAGAAGTCTGAGGTAAAAAATCGTTTGCAAATAGCAAAATGATGCTTTTCTTTGTTTATTTTTTATTTGTCTCCCTAAGGGGAGCTTTCTTCCCTCTGTGGGCCTCCAAATTTCCTGATACTCCTTGCAAAAGTGCTTTGTTTGTTTTCCTGCTAGCCTGTGGTTCGCAGGTAACACTGACTGAACGCGTTGGCTTTAACTGGTTAAAATCTCTGCTGTGCCCCTGTACACCCCAGCAGGGTTCAGCTGCAGCACTGGGGCAGCACTGCTCTGCACATGGAGAGCTCTGCAGTCAATTTGCAGCACAAGCCCCGGCTCCACCTGGTAATATTGAATGGGCAATTCTGTCAGCACGGGCAGGCCCCCGAGGCGTCCCTGCGTACTTCTGTCACATTTTCATCGGCCACACAGGGGTTCACTGTACACCTGCAGCTCCCAGAGCACTCAGGCTGCATTAGGCTCTCCACTCGCTTTACAAGAGAAGGAATAAATGGAAGTTTTTAGCTCTTGCAGGCAAAAAGGTGGGAAGTACAGGGCAAAATGCAGCTGGAAGGCCCAGACACTTGGCTGTTTTGATTTGTGAGTCTCTGGGCTTGGGCAGTATTGTCTGTGTGAGGAAGAGTAAGCCAGAAATACCAAACATACTGAATAAACCCAGTGTATGTATTACTCTCAGTAGCAGCTAGTGACAAGCAGCAATAAATTACTGCTCAGAGCGTGGCTGGGGCCAAATGAAAATACACTGTTAAGTGGTACGTGAGCACTATCATTATGAAAATACACACCTTGGAGAGAATAAGTTGTGCACAGAGTACAGCTGAGGCGAGCTTTGGTGGTGATGGATGTATGGGCAAATGAACAATTTGACAGAGCACTGCATTTTTATCCAACGTTGGAGAGTGACTGTGTATTCCACCAGGGTGCCTGGTGGCCCTGTCAGCCTGTGTACAAGGACAGGGACACTGCTGCCTTCAGACAAACAGTGGGAGGGACATTGCCAGGGTCAATAATGGCGTTGGCTCTGTTGTCTGTCCAGCAGTTCGTTGTCCCTTGGCACCTGAGGTGAGGTTTCTGTTTGTGCAGGAGTGGCAGGGGGTGGTTTGGGGTGGTTTGGGCTTTATCCCTGTCCCAGCACAAGAAGGACACGGAGCTGTTGGAGCCAGAGGAGGTCACCAGCATGATTGAGGGATGGAGCACCTCTGCTGTGAGGAAAGGCTGGGAGAATTGGGATTGTTCATCCTGGAGAAGACAAGGATTTGGCATGACATAATTGTGGCCTCCCAGTGTCAGAGAAGCTGACAAGAAAGGTGGAGAGAGACTCTTTACAAGGGCCAGGAGTGACAGGACAGTGGGAGATGGGGTCAAACTGAAAGAGAGCAGGGTTAGATCGGACACAGGGAAAAAATTCTTCCCTATGAGGGCGGTGGTGCCCTGGCACAGGGTGCCCAGAGAAGCTGTGGCTGCCCCTGGATCCCTGGGAGTGTCCAAGGCCAGGCTGAATGAGGCTTGGAGCAATGTGGGATAGTGGAAGATTTCCTTGCCATGGCAGGGGTTGGAACTGGATGATCTTTAAGGTCCCTTCCAAGCCAAACCATTCTAGGATTCTGCATCTAAGAAGAGTTGTTCTGGCTATGTGCTAAAGGGGTGTCTGGATGTGATTGATATGCCCTGGTTTGGGGACGGCTTTGCAGGGAAATCAAACATTCTGCCTCCCCAGAGGTTTAGTTTTGCTTTATAGAGCTTAAATTTAATTGGTTTTGGTGATGTTTAAAGGATATTCAAATATCCTGTGCTCTGCTCATGTCCCATCATTTATTCAATAGGATGAGGTCTCATTGGAGCTTTTTCCTGGTGTTTTAAAGCATTACAGAAGCTCGTCCTGAGCCAAGAATGCAGTAACGTCATATTGGAAATAATGGGAAGAGGTAAATGCTAGAATTACAAACACCACATTAAGGTTATTTCTAAATCATACTAGGGCCTACATCCAAGAAAGAAAAATCAGGCTTAATAAGCACTGTGCTCTGCTGTGTTAATAAGGAGAAGTAAAAAGAGGTTGAAGCTGAATATAGGCCAACAAAAGGGATGGTGTTGCTGGTGTTAGGACAATACCCTAGATTCCCTTCTCTTTAGGCAGTAGGGAGCAAGTGGTGTTTTTTAACTTGGCTCTGAGTCTCTGTTGTGAGTCTGTTTTCTGTTGTTGGGGTTTTTGCATGTAGCAGACCAAGAAGGGTGTAGAAAAACAGGTCAGATTGGCTGTTGATTGATTTGTTAGGGTAGGAAGCAAGCAAGGTAGGATTCTCCAGCTACCTGCAGCTGCCTGTGGGCTAGCAGAGAGTGGGCTGGCCCTGCCAGTGGACAAGGATGACCCAGCCAAAAAGTAGGACTCAATTCAAAGTGGATTTCTGGCCTGGTTTGGGGCTTCAGAGATGAAGTGTCATGGGTGGTGTCATGGGCATGACACCAGTGGTCTGATCTGGATCTGTCTTAGCCCAGGAAAGGTGTCTCACCATCACAAGGCTGCTTTGGAAAAACATGTTATTGTGGGCATCTCTGCCTGTATGAACACAGTTCTCAGCTTTGAAATTCCCCATCCTACCAAGCTTGCCTTATTTAACCAGGCCCTGCTTTCATTTACATCCCTCCCCACGCCTTTCCTCAACAACCCCTAGCCTGTGCTATGCTCTGTGTTGCCCTCAGGCAAAGGTTGTGGTATTCAGCATGATGTAAGACAAATACACCTCTGTCCTACTCAAACTCCTCTTTTCTTCCCTGGCAGTTATTTAAGCGGGAAGCAAGGAAGTACATTGTTCTGATATCTGCTGTCTCCCTTGAGGATGCTGTTTGCCAGGCACTGGGCCTCAGTTTCTCCAGTCTCCCAGAGACCACAGTCTTGCAAGAACTTATCTATGCCCCTTACTGAGTACTATGGGATTAATTACTGCTAAAGTCTCCTGGAGGCTTCAAGTGCCCTGTCTCAGATGCTGCACAACAGCAGAGGTGAGAGTGCAATTGAATCCAGGCTGCTTCTCCAGGGTTACTGCTGTATGCAGGCTTTTGGTTTTATCTGCCTTTTGCTCTCAGGGTTCATGAGAACTTCAGGGTAAAATCTTCTTGGTTTCTCCTTCTTGGTTTTCTCCTTGGTGTATTCCAGAAGAAAGAGAGCTGCTAAGTATTGCTCTGTTGAATCTTTTTCAAGAGCTGCATCACACTGCCTGTGCCACTCACTGTGAGTTAACTCTGGGGTAGCTTCAGCTCTGAGCTGATGAGCAGGCTGGCCATGAGTGTTCCACAATAACAGAGAGGCTCAAGAGCCCTGATGCATTTTGAGTTTCTTTTTCAGCCCTTATCAGCTCGGAGCAGTTTTTGTTTTACTGTGCTCCTCGGAGGTCCCAGTTAAATCACATCCGTGCTGTGCCGGCTGTCGGCTGTCACTGTAAATCCCTGCTCAGGGTCCCACGGAGCTGCTGAGGTGACAATGAGCCTTTAGCTGAAGCTCAGAGACACCAAAGAGCTCAGAGACACCAAAGAGCACGTTCAACTTGACCTGGGGTGTGAAGGTCACATCCCCTCTTCACTCACCATCACCAGCGGTCGCTTTTCCCAAACCTGTGATAGCAATGCCTAATGCTTTTCCTGCAAAAGAACCAATTTCCTTGTAATAGAATGAATATTGCAGATTTCAGCCTGAGTTCTTCTCCTAATGCTCTGGGTTATGAATGAGACCCAAAGGTGCATAAACTGAAGGACGATTTATTTTCTGAACACTCCCATTCCTTTCCTTCCAGGGGCTGGTTCCTATCCAAGCACAGAAGGAAAAATAATACCAAAAAAATATGAAATAGTTTCTCTTGTTGGCAACTCAGTGCCTACTCTGTGATCTGAACTCCACATACAGGCTGTGGGTGAACAGGTCTGTTTACAATTGCAAATATGGGGTTTGCAGTATAAAAAAAAAATCCCATCCACTTTGAGGTTCCTTGCTTTGTCAGGCAGTTTGGTGAAAGGAAGAAAGAGAAAAGAGGAGGAAAGAAAAGAGGAGGAAATATTTTGTTTGGGTGTTTTTGCTGTAGGTGCGAAGAAATAACTTTATCCACAAATAACAGGCTGCTTCACCTTTTCACAGCACCATGGAATCCCAGAATGGTTTGGGTTGGAAGGGACCTCAAACTCATCTCATTGCACTCCCTGCCATGGGCAGGGGCACCTTCCACTATCCCAGGTTGCTCCAAGCCCTGTCCAACCTGGGCTTGGACACTTCCAGGGATGCAGCCACAGCTTCTCTGGGAAATTGAAATCACTGATTCATCGGTGTCTCCCTTTGCTCCCAGCTCTTTGGACACCAGTGTTTGTGTCCCTGGGTCAGAGGGCTGCTGCCGGGAGAGCTGTCCTGCCGGGAGAGCTGTCCTGCTGGATCCCGCCGGGATCCTGCCGGGATGCTGCCAAATGTGCAGGGAACAGGCTCCCACTAGAGCGCGCTAGGACAGTTAAAACGGAGCTGGTTTTCTGCTGGCATCGGGGTGGAACCATCAAAGATGCCTATCTAAGGAACGGCACTTCTGGTTTTCACCAGGGATTCTGGCTAAGTTCCCCATCTTTTGAGTACAGTTTCCCTGGATGAGTGTGCAGCAAAGCCAACTGTAGCTGCCTTAGAGCACTGAGGTTTGGGCTGGGACAAGTGCTGGCAAAAGCCTGGACAGAGGGCAGGGAGAAGCTTTGTCCTCGAGGCCTGTCTCATCTCACAGTCCCTTGTTTGCAGGTCTGTAAGGCAGAGGAAGTGGAAATCTGTGCAGTACCTGGACATGGACAGGAGTCCACCTCGAAGTCCCGCTGCTGGTCTGCTGTTGTCATTTGTGCATTTTGAAGCTACCCCTAACAAACTTGCCCAGCTTCACAGGAGAATTTCCTGCCTCCACCCAGGCCCTTAGACCCCTGTCTGCTACGCTCGTTTGCTTCATGTTTACTTAATTAGCCAGCTGGAGCATAATTCCTTTCATGATCCACGGTCTAATACATAAAGATGACAGTGACATGAATCTTGGCTTAGGTTTCAATTTGCATGTTAATTCATTGTGGTTCCCCAGATAGCTGGAATTTGCTCCAACAGGATCTGGGAGATGATGAAATGGGCAGGGTGTTCTCCTGTGTCCCAGTGAGGGCCTGGAGCGATAGGTGACATAGTTTTACTGTCCACCAGGCACCATCTCTGGTAGATCTCCAGCAAAAAGCAAAGCAAAGGTGAAAAGCAAAGCCAAAATCCTAGATGAGGAGCTTTTCTTAGTACAAAATGCAAACAGAGTCATGGCTCTGGTAGTTGAGAAGCATCTGGAAATCAGTGAAGCCTGGTGAGAGAGCCTGCAACAGATTAAGAAGGAGCAGTGATTTTACATAGCAATTCAGCCCCAGTCATCTCTGGTTCACAAAGCCCTCGACACACTTATCTAGAGAAGAGAGAGACTCCAGGCAGGGAGGAAACAGTGATTTCCCTGAGTGGCAGACAAGCCCATGTTGGCTGTGAAGGGTTTAGGCACAAACCCCATCACTCCCTGGGACTCATCTTTCTGTGTAACATCCAGGAGCTGGCTTACAGGGAAGGAAACGCTGCGAGCCTGTGTTCAGTTCCAGCTCTCTGGGGGAGACTGAGTTCCAGGCTCACAGGAGACTGACAGCAAACACAGGCAGAGCTGAAAAAACAGCGCCTTGCCAAAGGTGGCACGAGCTCTCTGGGACAGACAGCCGTAGGTGGTTATTTATCTGTTACATTAGAGCTGACTGAGATCCAGACCCTGGAGAGCCGGGATCCAGGATAAAAACAGGGCTTGCCGCAAGACCCTGTGAGCTGAATAGAAATCATGGCTAAATAGGAGGATGGGAAGAGAGACAGTTGTGTGAAGAGGCATGGCCAGCATCACACAGCAGGCAGTGCCACAGCCAGCGAGCCTTGGAGCAGTCTCTAGCTGGCAGATGGGTTTAGTTGCAGCAAATCATCCATTTTCAGATTTTGCTGATTTCACACAGTCTAATTTTAATAACAGAAGAAAAGAGTGAGACATTTTTTCATAAATCACTTGTTCCTTTCCTTTGTTTTTCCTCCCAAGTAACTGCACTAGGTAACTGTGTTTCGGCCTTAGAAACATGGATAATATTTTAATGAAGAATTGTGTGGACAAAAAAAATTGAAAATAAATGTTGTCTCTTCTCTGTGTTCAAAACCCAATGGCTTTGGATTCTCCAGGAGTTTCTTGTGCTTTCTGAAAATGCTGTTATCTTGTATGCCCTGCATTCATAATCAGTTGTGGTTCCTTCTTTCTGTTCTGACCTTTCTTGCTCAGAGTCTCAAGTCACAACAGGACAAGTTCTGGCTTTTCAAAATCATCTTCCTGATGCTTTATGGCTAGAAAAAGAAGGGGTTTTTGCCCCCCAAGAAAACATTGTTAAATCAAGCCTTTTCATTTTTCACCTCAATCAAAGCCAAGTTTCTCAGCTTTTCATTAAAAGCCAAGTATTTGAAGTTGTTCAGGAGGCCCTAAAATGAACATTTCCAGGTTCTAGAATAAACAGTGTAATTTTTCAGATACTACTTTTCAGGAAAGCAGGATTTAATCATGTAGCTTCTGTTCCATTAACTAGGTTCCATTAATATTTTGAGCTAGCTTAGTACAGCTGTTTGGGAATTGGAAAATGCAAGGTTATGATAAGCCAGTGGAAATTCAGTGAGGGGTGTTGGTGTTTCCCTGCATGAAACAGTGGGGGAAAAGCCTGTTCACAGCTGAAATCTCTTGGTGCTGAGTTCCATCAATCCTGGGCACAGAGCACATGTGGGAAATCCACCTGGAAGCAGCAGGGAGCCTTCAGCATGGGCATGACAAACATCACCCCTCATTAGGCAGAGCTGAGGCAGGTACTAATTAACCTGGAGCTGCAGTGGTGCTGCTCGTGCCTCCTGTCCTGATGATTCCTGACTCTCTCGGGGCTAGGGCAGGATCAGCGTTGGCTCTGCTTGTGGTGCAGCTTTCCTCCACCTTTTCCTCCACCTGTGTCCATGCATTTCAGGCATGGAAACTGTGTCCCTGTGCCCATCCCTGTGCTCAGTGGCTCTGGAGCCACTGGAGCTTTAATTGTGTGGAGCTGTTTTCCTGAGCTAAATTAGCAGACACATGGGGGTGACAATTTCGGCCCTGTATGAGTTTGGTGGTAAAAACCAAGCCTGGGACTCAGGCCAAGGCAGCAGGGCCAGAGGGAATTTAATGGGTCTTCCTGCAAAACACAGCTACAGACTTTCAATTGACTTTCTTCAATTTGTCTAACTAATGTCTTCTCCAGCCCTGCTTTTTAATTCATGATACTATCATCAATCACATAATTATGACCTCATCTCATTCTCTGTTAAGACTTGGGTGACAAATAAGGACAGGGTCACACTTCAGTTTGTGTTGCTGTGTTTTATTGCCTAGATGAAAAGAAGCAAACATGCTGGGGACAGAATTCCCAAAACATAAAATTCTGCTGACAATATGCAACATTTAGCTGTTTCTGGAGAGCTGGAAAGCAGGACTTTTTGGTTGGTTGGTTTTATTTACACTGTTTTTCACACAAATGCACCTTGTCAGGCCTGGGAACAGACTCCTTTTAACTCATCTCACGAGCACACATCAGCATCATAACAAACACATTGGGAGAAGAACTATTTCTCCAGGCAAGAGGCAGCTTAATCCAGTGGGTCAGATAAAAATCCTTCAAACAGAATATGGGAAGTTCTTTTATAGATTAACCACTGCAAGGGATTGAAATCCCAGAGTTAGGCAGCCTCAAATTCCACTGATGCCACAAGCCATGCCAAGGAGCACACTGAGAGTAAGAATTAAGAACATGATTGAATCATGTGAAAGAGTTTTCACTCCTGAATTAATGTTAGAAATTTGGGTCTAATGTTATGGTTTGGGGAAAGGATGGTTAATTCTTCACATCCTGTATTTTTGTTCAGCTTTGACATTTCCCAGCCAAAACCTCCCTTTGCTGTCCCACTGTTCATAATTTTACTTGGTTGTCAGCGTCATCCCCTCTGGAAAAAGGATGGCTCTATTCTTCACAGACATTTTAGGCTAAAGAGATCCTCTTCTAAGCATCTTGGGAAGACCCTGAATGCTGAATTCTATGGGGTTCCTTGGATTCCCCATGTGGGGATAAACCACAAGGCTGTGGGAAGTCTGGCATTTGAAGTCTGATCTGTGGCTCTGCTGCAGACACTTGGAGCAGACTCTACCCTTGCACAACAGAAGTAAACCATGAATGTTGAAAACGAGAAAAGAAACATTTAGAATGTATGGAGTGTTTTTATAAACCCTTCCATTTTCAAGCCACTTTCACGATTTCCTGAGCCTAACTTGAAAGTTATGAGTGCTTGGGGTAGGCAGTACCACACAAACAATATCCACTTCCAACACACGTATATTCACAAGCTTCTCACTGTTGGTACTGTGAAAGCATTGCTGTTCCTCCTACAGATAATGCCATGCAATGCTATTCATAGTGGTTTGATGGCATAATGGTCAGCCAGTTTGAGCTGTGCCATGCCGGGCAGCAGTTTTGCTGCTCATTTCTTGTATTCACACTTGGTAGCTGAAATACTGCAGCCCTCTGAACTTGCTTTCCTGTTTCCCCCTGATTTTCACTCATGCTCAGATTAGCACTTAGTCATCTTTACAATCCTTGCCTTTCCCTGTGTTCTCTCCTCTACAGCATGACCAAAATTTGTTAGCACAGGATTTTTATGAGCTTCTGCCCTCACTAAAAAAGGGCCAACTTGTCTTGGGAAGTTTCCCCCATCAGTTTTGACATCTCCTGCAGCTTGCCATTCCTTAGCATTAATTTCTATCGCTTCCCCCGATTTCCCTGGAAGAAATTCTGATTAGGCAACAAGTGCTGGGCTATCCATCATCTCCTGCCAGTCACAAGTCACAGGGTTCTTCTCAGCCTGGAAGGCACCGATCGTTCTTAATCAACCCGAGTGTGCCACGGCTAACAGAGCTAAAGACCTGATTTCCGTGGCCATCCCCCGGGATCCTGCCTGAGCACGGCAGTAAGGCAGAGCCCTTGTGAGAGCCCTGTAACACAGCCCTGCAGCACAGCTGATTAAACCCCTGCAGAGCTCAGAGGGCTTCACAAAAGTCCTGTCAGTCAGCTTGCATTTGATTTCAGGTCTGATTTTCATTTGTTTACAGTGTCGCCCATTATGTGGAGAGTGTTTGCTAAACGCTGAAAAATAATGGTCCTGTCCCAGGTAGCTGACAGCAGAAGGGCTGACAAAGGGAAGGAAGGCAGTAAAAGAGGTAATTTATGTATGACTCATGCTTCCCAGCCAGCTGTGCTGATAAAAAATGGCCACTTTTATGGGAATGCTGGAAAAGAGCAACGAAATTACCTTTCTGAAAGAAAACCAACCCAAACCAAACAAAATATTTAGACCAGCAGTTTGATTAAAGATTACTTATTGCCAACAGCACAGGGAAGGCAGTCCTGGGGAGGCATTTGGGTTTATCAGGGAAAAATGTTTCTGGCACAGACACCTGCACCTAAAACAATACGGAGACAGCAGCAGGAGGTCCTGCCTAGGGCACAGAAAAACCTGATAAGGAGGCAGGAAAACAGGATACGAAGTGTGGGAGATGAGAATTGATAAGCAGGGGTGGCATTAGGAGCTGGGAGCAGTCGCTGAGGCAGGGGAGGAAATCATTGGAGGTACTTTTTTGGCAAATTGCTGAGCAGTCCCGTATCCACCTAATGCACGGAGCTCTGCGGGAAGATTTATGTTGTCATCCAGCCATGTGACTTGGGGCCTGACTTTGCTCCACTTAGAGGCAATGACAGACTCCTATTGATTCATGGCAACCATAGAAATCAAAGAAAACTTGCTGTAGCAACTGGCTAATTCAATAAAAGCATTGATTTTTCCAGCTGGACAATTAGAGAGCATGAATGCAGTGTAGTTGATTTCTGTCTCTGAATTAATGTAACAAATGATCATTGATTCAAGTGAGAGGAAACTGTACCCCAAAGGAAAGGACCTTCCATAGTAAAAATCCCCCAGCCTATGTGGGCTGGTCTTTAATGTGCCAGAGATAGAGCTGCTTATGATTCTGTGTCTCTCTTTGTTAGCACACTTAGGAGTGAGTTGACTGTCACCTCACAGAGCAGCCAAGGTAAAGGCAGACACACAGGGCCAGGGAGAACCCTGGAAAGGTGATGCAGGAGACCATGGAGTTCAAAACAGGTAGTGGAAGCACCTCATAGCATGGCTCTAGTTTTGCCCTGGGTTTGAGACAGTATCATGGAATGGTTTGAGTTGGAAAGGACCTCAAAGATCATCCAGTTGCACCCCCTGCCATGGGGTGCAACTTCCGCTATCTCAGGTTGCTTCAAGCCCTGTCCAATCTGGCCTTGGACAGGGATGGGGCAGCCACAGCTTCTCTGGGCAACCTGTGTCGGCATCACCACCCTCACAGGGAAGAATTTCTTCCTAACATCTGATCTAAACCTACTCTCTGTCAGTAGGAAGCCATTCCTCCTTGTCCTGTCACTCCAGGCCCTTGTAAATAGTCTCTTCATTTTTGTTGTCAGCTTCTTCAGGCACTGGTAGGCTCCAATTAGGTCACCCCAAATCCTTCTCGTCTCCAGGCTGAGAAATCCCAATGCTCCCAGCCTTTCCCCTCAGCAGAGGTGCTCCATCCCTCTGATCATTGTAGTGCTTCCTCTGGACTGGCTCAGACGTCTCCACATCCTTCCTGTGCTGGGCCCCCAGGGCTGGAGGCAGCTCTGCAGGTGGGGTCTCACCTGACTGGAGCACACAGCTGTCTCTTCCTCCACAGTGGGGAAGATGCTTTGAGCACCCCCTCAAAGCCTTAAAAGAGGAACTTTACTTACACCACATGCAGTAGCTGTGAACAGGCCCCCAGATTTTTGGGGCTGCTGGGTATTTGCAAACTTAGGTTATGGCTCATAGGTTATGGTTACTTTAGGTTATGGCTTAGGTCATTGCTGCCCTGGCTCAGGAGTCAGAGTTCCAGGCAGTGTGATGATTTCTTTCATAGGAAACTGGTGTGCCACTTGTCCACTTGCAAGCCCCTTTTGCTGCTGAGATTAGTTCTAATGGAGT